GTGATCCTCTAAAGCTTTTCAAGAATGAAAGCTCTGTCTGCTGCTCCCAGCACTTTGCCTCTGTGACATATGAATTGTGCCAAATCCATTCTGAGTTTTTGTTTTTAAGCTCTGAGTACAAGGGTGAAGTGAAAATAAAGTGTGAATAATGGTCTTTCTCTCAAAGGCAATGTGATATTGCATTGAGCTGAAAAATTTACTCTCATACAGATCGGCCCTGCCAGTATGAAGGGCTGATTGATGCTGAGCACGATCCAGCTGATATCTGATATTGGGGAGGGGGAGGGCTCTTCGGTGCTGCTGACAAAGCTATAACAAGATCCACAGACTGGAAGCTGAAGTTAGGCAAATGCAACCTCGCGATAAAATGCCAGTCACGAGCATAATAAAATATTATAACAGTTTATTGGGGCTCGTGATAAATTCATCGTTAAGAAGTCTTTAGTATTTTCTTTTAGAATCAGTTTTCAGTTTCTGGGAGAAGTTCTATGGCCAGTCTGTGAGCTGGAGGATCATGGTGATCCCTTTTGGTTTTGTAATTGAAGTGCACTTGTTAAGGTCCCTTCTTCGCTAGGCTGTAAGGAGAACACATTTACAGAATTGCCCTTAACAATTCTCATAGCACCTGCAGATCTGCACAGAGGTAACTGTTCTAATTAAATCCTGTCCTTTAGGACTACATAGGCTTGCCCACAGGGATGGGAGGAATTGCGTGCTTTCCTTCCCTTCTCCTCCTTTTCCCCCATACTTGTTTGGGTTGGATCTTGAAGGCTTATTTTGTAAGAGTTTTTCTTTTTTACCTTCTTTTTCTTTACTACAGCATGGGAGTGGCTCACCTGACGGGATGTAGCTCAGGAAATAGATTGCCCATGATCACAGTTGCCTTTGTCAATAGTGACACACATCAGGCTCTCCCACCTCCGCCACTCAGCAGTTCGTTCACCTCCGCAGTATTCAACAATTTGTGCTCTTGAGAGCTGGAATGATGTTTCGGTGTAATGGAAGCCTTTGGGCTTCATAGAGGGACATCTGGATGGAGCTTAATGATATGGGATATGCAAGAAGTCATATTGGTCACAGGAGCTGATTCCCTCCTGATCTGAAACTCTTTAAAATATATGAAATTCAAGGTTGCTGAACAAAAGAGCCCTCTGCACATCTCACAGGATTGGGCTCCCTGTTATTTCCCTGTCTGAAAAGCAGACAGCCCCCACCTAGTGAATTCTCAGGTCTGGGAATATCTTCTGGAACAGCGTGCTCACCTGCAGGCAATTTGAGAAGTACCAGGGGTGTCTGAATATTGCTGCCTAAAATCAAATGTTTCTGTTATTGTGGGTATTGAGGAAACTCAAGAACAACACGGGTTTGTGAAATCATTATATTCAAGAAGCAGTTGTCTCTTCTCCTGCATTTAGAGCCCTGGTAGTATCACATTCTGTTTTGACAGCTGTCAGAAGTTAAATGAAAGATATTTGGGGAGAGGAGGGTTGAGCTACAGGAGAATTGTTATTTGCAGTGCTCGCCAACAGTTGCAGTTTTCGCTTGGTAACACACATGTTGTCTGTTATTCTTTCTCTTTTCTTCTCCTTTGCTAAACTTTTGCGCCTTTTATTTCTGTGGCTCTTGTAATGGGGACCGGTGCCATCCAACCTGTGCTACTTTCAGTAGAAAACGTCTCCTTGATACCTTGCATGTGAAATGCAGTCCGTGCCCTGCCCTAGTTTTTCTCCAGTTCTTCTTCGCTGACTGTCAACTGCCAAGCATCTGCTAGTGCCACTGTCCTCCTTTCATCTCCCAAATTTAAGCTACAGTTTTGCCGTGAGGAAAGGGAATTTACACTAGCTCTTTCCTTCATTTTTTTTCTTCCCAGCTGACGCTATTTATTCTGACAGATTACTGTAGCAGTTTGGTTTTTAATGTGAAACTCTGCTAAAGGTCTTTCACTTAGCTGTTCATTAAGTGCTTACGCTTAGTGTTTATATTCAAGGGGGGAAGGTTCATAGGTGTTAGAGCACAAGGGGCTTCTATGCTTGCTTTCTGTTCTGGATTCATGCCTGCGGGATGCAGAAATAAATGTTATTTTAACTTGAACCTATTTTAGCCTTAACTCAGGAGCAGCTGAAGCTTTTTCTGTAGTCAACCCTTTTTATTATTCTATAATTGCAAATAAAAATGCTCTCACAACGTTAGCTGAACTTGCCAGGGAATTTGCAGAGGCTGACTATGAAGACCGCTATACCTCCTTTGTATCACACGGTGGCAGAAAACGCCCAGCATATGTTCTTGTGCTGCACCAGTCTGGTAAATCGTATCAGCTATTTCAGTATGCAGAACTTTATAGAGAATATGTTACTTTGGAAAATTAAGTCTGTTTAATTGTCTGTGCAGGAAGAGCTTATTTTATAGCGAAATAATACACATTCATCCACAACTTGCAGAATGTGTATTAAGGGTGTGTATAGGATTCATTGAGTATTACATCTGACAGTCCATATATATATGTAATAGTGTAGAAAAGATAATTATATAGCTGGAATATATATAGGCATTTAGTTTTAATTAGGCTTTTGATTAAATATAAAAGTGCAATTAAGAGTGACAGATACAGTAGATCCTCATAGACTGCATGACAGTATTTGGCTAGAAAAACTCCTGAGCTGATTTTTTGTCAGACTTGATTTTTTCTAAAGATCTCAGTGACTGTTCTATTGAGTCTTTGATCTGAACTACTCCTTATTCTCGCTCTCTCTCTTTCTCTGTATATATGTGCTGATCTGTGTGTTTACAGTATTTCTGTTGGTAACAGATGTTTTTTTAATTTACAGGAAAATTATTTCTTTTTAAGGAGAGATGGTAAAATTTAGATGTTAGCCAAACAGCTAAGAATTAAATTTGGATTTTTTAGCCATGGTATTACATTTTAACTGTATTTTGCCAAGCTTCTCAGACTTTATTTTCTGAATAATGATACTATTTCTGTGAACGTGTCTCTGAGCACATGAGCATGAGCAATTTGTTAAAGGCTTACATATGAGAGACATATATAAGATATAACATAGGAGGGAAAGGATAGCATTATGAAAATATAAAGGTAGATATTACAAGATCTGCTTGTATAACTGACTCTGATACAGACATGAACGGGTTGCTTTAAGTATCACGTCTCCTCATTGCACTGAGCTGTTGTTTATGTTAGAAGCCTTAGTTTTGCAGAATGCCTGGACCAAGATAGGTTTAAACCAATCCTCTGTGCACTACTTTTGAAAATAAGACCATTAACTAATTACGGATATGAAGCTAATTATAGACTCCTCTCTTAAGCAACTTGGCCAGGGTATTTGTCTGGTATCTTAACTAAATAAATCAAATAATCATTACATAAAATGATTGGATAGAGGAAAAAGAGCAAAAAACCCTTCAGTTACCGTCAGTGTATCTTGAATATGGTTAGTCATGGTTTAGCATAGTTTTGCATCATTTCACAGTGGGCCTATGAGGCCTTCAGTGTTACCCCGAAGTCATGAGCCGAACACAGCGGCTTTCTGGCTTTGTCACAAGTCTGCTGCAGGACCTCGGGCGAACCTTCCTCTTTGCTCTTCTTCGGCTGTGGCTCCTCTTTAATTTTCCATCTACTGACAATTTAGACACTTCCGAGCAGGACTGTGCCTCATACATGTTTGCACTGCTCGTAGGTGTTAGGATCCTATCGGCAATTGAGGGCCGAGTTATCAAAACACGAAGAACTCGCAATACGGGTGTTGCTGCGCTTCATATTCGCTGCGGGGACAAATGGGTACGGCTCCTCCTTGACGCGACAGAGGATGATGGCCAGCCTTGAGAGATGATTTTCTGCATATCAGTAAATCCCTGCGTTTTCATTAAATTGCTTACTTAGGCTCAAGATTAAAGTCGGCATCATTGGAAGGGCTCCGGTCGACTACGGTGCGGTGACACAGGCAGCTGTTTCCCACGTCTGTCTGGTACAACTTGTCATTTTGTTTCACAGTATGGAAGGTGCGAGAAGTGACAGGACTAAATAAGCACAGAGGGAACCGACTGTTTTGTCTGGCCGTGTTAACGAATAAGCTGGGAGTGAAGTTAACTTCATGTGAAACAGTTTAAATTATTTATTTTCAATCCTGGAACTGTACTTAACACGTTGTTCAGGCAGAGCCGTGTTGACAGGGTGACGTTAATTACCCACTGGAAACACACCACATTAGCTGGAAACAATTGTTCGCAGCTATCATTCATGGCTCTGGGTAAAGCCGCAGCCTTTGCACATCTTGGCAAACAGTTTTCCCCCTCCATCCGTGGAAGCTCCTTCTGCATCCACCTGCAGCTGCAAACTAGCTCTTTACTTACAGCAACAAAATATGAAGTTCAATGGTTGGGGGTTTCTTTTCTTCCCCTCTCTTCTTTTTTTCTGGTGAGCTGAGCGATTGTGTGATTGGTCTCCTCTCCGTTAGACACGGCACATCTTAAAAATGTGAGGATCTTCATTCACTGATCCACCAGTATAAATGCATATGCTTACTCTTCCTGTAAATGCTTTCCCACAGCTCCCTTAATGATTCAGTTCCCACTCCTTAATTCATAGCAAGAGTGTTGTGTCCTTCAGAACAGGAAATTATTGCATCTGGGGTTTCCTTTCTTTGCAAAGGCTTTGGCTTCAACATCCCTACTGAGAACTGGATGTGACTTGAGTAGCATTTGTATGGATGTGTGCTAATAAAAGTGAGGAATTGACTTTTTCCTCCCTTCTTGTTCAGCATTGCAATGAGTTAAGGACTCCAAAATGACCCAACTGAGGAGTGCTGGGAATATGTCTACAAGTAAATGAGTGGCTGGCTACTTCAAGTTGCTACATTATGTTTTTCTAGATGTTCCTGTTCCGTGGTTAATACAATTAGAGATTCTACCGGGAGAGTGCAGGTATGCAGTGTTTGTTCATTACAGTGTGAGGCTGTGTCTGATGACATCTAACTCTCTGTTTGTAGGTTAGGCCAAAGACCCTGATTCCAGACAGCCTCCCTATCTCCCCGTGCAGAGACCAACCTTCCAAGCAGCCTCCTACCTTCCAGAAGGCAACCGTAGTCAGCATCAAAAACCCCAGCCCTGCCCTCCCGACTGCCAATAACACCGTCAGCCATGTACAGCCGCCTAACAGCCAGTCACAAAGTGTCACCGAGTCTACAGCTATTTCGTCACCTCTGAGCAGTGCAGGTGTGGCGTACGCCATCATTTCCACCTCCCCCAACAATGCAACTCCTATCAGCACCAGCACGACTGTCTCTGTGGTCAACGATAGCATTAAAGTGCAACCACTCCTCATTAGTGCCGACAGCAAGGTAGGTTCTTTTTTTTCACGGCATTTTTTTTTTGGTTATCAAACACAGGAATTACATTGCAGATGTAAGCAGAACATTCCCCTGGGAGTGCACAGCCCTGTGCAGAGTGGTGTCAGTGGTTCCTTTTGAAGAAAATAATCAGAAAGCAATGGGAAAATTCTTAAGGGGACACATGGACGCTGGTAGACATTTATCTGTGTACAAGCATATTTTTTGGTGGGATCAAAATGCATCATTATGTAGCCTGACATTAATGGGACCATATGATCTTCCATTTCCTTAAACCAATCCTCACTAATAATATCCCTTAATTCTGTGCAGGCTCAAATTTCCTATGGACTCCCTCTTCAATTATACAGTGATACTAGTTATATCGACTGACCCCAGGGGAGTGTATCAAATAATCAGGCATTCCCTTCTACACTTTCAGGGGAAGACCAAATGAAATGAGAGCTCAGGGTTTCAAAACTGATCAGCAGATGAATCAGTAGGAAAAAATCAAGTTATGAATTACTTGTTTCCTCTTTGTACTTTTCAGCTTTGAAATGAAAGAACTGCACCACTCTTATACCAGAAGCAGATTCAATAAAGGCTGCCAATGTACCCAGCAGACATTTGCTGTAATTTGCTACTGGGATCCTGCTACTTTGGGTCTTGTTGGCAGCACAGGTTCTCACACAGTGCTAAAAAAGAATACAGGGTGTAGGATGGCTTTTGAGGTAAACAAAAGCAGGCATCTCTTCCCCACTTCTCTAACTGTCGTGGTTTAATTTCAGTCGGCAACTAAGCACCACGCAGCCGCTTGCTCACTCC